AAATTAGTAGACAATATTTTCTTTGTCTCATGAAGCAGCCCTAAGTTATTGCTAGCAAGCAGAATGTCATCAACATACAGTACAAGGAAAATAAAATTTCTCCCACTGGTTTTAAGATATAAGCATTGATCAATAGTATTTTCAACAAAACCAAGAGAGGTCACAATCTCATCAAACTTCAAATACCACCGTCGAGATGCTTGCTTGAGACCATATAAGAATTTGTTTAACTTACACACCAAGTTTTCTTTTCCTTTCACAACAAAACCTTCAAGTTGTTTCATATAAACCATTTCAGAAAGATCTCCATTCAAAAATGTTGTCTTAACATCCATTTGATGAAGTTTCAAATTATAGTGTGCCACAAGAGCCATGATAATTAGAAAAGAATTTTTTGACGAAACAGGGGAGAAGGTTTCAACATAATCAATGCCCTCTCGTTGAGTGAAACGTTTTGCAACCAATCTTACTTTCTTTCGTTCAACATTTTCTTTTGAGTCTAATTTACTTTTGAAAATCCACTTATTATCTACAACCTTAGCATCTGGAGAAAGTTCAACAAGATCCAAAACTTTATTCCTTTCCATGGAATTCATTTCATCTTCCATGGCAGTTATCCATTTATCTACCTCAGGAATTGTCAATGCTTGGTTACAGGATCAATAAAATGCCCAATATTAAAATCGCTCTCTGATAAATATGTAATATAATCACTGGGCAATGTAGATCTTCTTTTCCTTTGTGATCTCCTAACTTGTGGCTCAGGAACCGATTCAATCGTTGTTTGAGAAATTGGAGATTCTTCCTGGTTCCTCGGTTCTTCATTAACAACTTCAATTGGTTGAGAACCAACTCTTTCCTGTATGACAGGAACTAGAACAACAACTTGATTAGGTTCAACAAGAATTTCTCTCAACGTGAAACTCCTACTATCTCCAAAATCGTTCTCCAAAAACTTAGTAGTAGTGGACTCCACAATTCTAGTGCCACAATTTGGACAGTAAAACTTACATCCCTTTTATCTATCCGAATACCCAATAAAGTAGCCAGAAGTTGATTTAGGGTCTAATTTCTTTTCAAATGGATTATAAATCCTAATCTCA